AATATAGTATACATAATAATATACATTATAATGTATATACTATATATACATTATTAAAACTTATAAAAACACATTGCCCCTTTTCCGCAGTCGGGTATTGACATAATATATAAATAATCAAAAAATATAAAAATCCAAATAATAAATAATACGGTTTGTCCGACGAACATTGATCCTTTTTTTTTTTTGTACCGGTCTTCGAATTTCGAATCCGACCTTTACAAGTATAATATAGTTATCTAAAGAACGACAATAGTAATGAAGGGTGTTTTTAAAAATACTATATAAGACCGCAGCGTAGGTATATGCCTATTGTTATCAAATGTGTATAAATTCCGATTGTTTGGTAAATATCTATGGCATTGTTGAATAGGTAAAAAAATAACCAGGCCAAATGCTGATGAAAAAAGGTTCCCAATGCTATAAAGGCTAAAATTTTTCATCTACCTAAAATAAATCGAAAATGATTTTATCAAACGACTAAGTGTGACAAAAAAAAAATCAATCATTTTAGAGAGAAAAAAATGATTTGGGCTATAAAATAGATTATTCCAAAAATATAGCGTACGCGTGCGATGTTGACATTTAACTATAGTCTAAATGCGATGCCTCTCGAGCGGGTTTACCAAGTAAATGATCTCGGATTTGTGTATGTCCCTACCCTAGACTTTCGGCCCCATATTGATTTCGCAATCAGTAGAGCGTTACGAGCTCTTGGGTTTATTAGAAGACATTCGTCTGATTTCAATTCTACCGAAGTTCTTTTATCTTCCTACTACCATATCCAATTTCACTAAAAATGCACCTCTCATTCGTATGATGGGAATTTTTAACGATTTTTGATTTATATTATTCGTGTTAAGGCCACACCTCTCAATATTACCTTTTTATCATGTATATTTTTTGTTGTTTTGTTTTGCTTTGTTTCGTTTTCTTTTGGTTGATTTGTGTATTTTAAATATCACTACATATATATATATATATAGGAAAATAATAATACAATTTGGTTGTTTTATTTATTTATTTTATTTATTTATAGTAATTTACGTCAAACGACTTTTTATAAATTAGAAAATTATATATATATATATAATTTTCTAATTTATAAAAAGCCGTTTGGCGTATATTACTATAAATAAATAAAACAACCAAATTTTATTATTATTTTCCTTGTTCGAAAACACAAAAATTTTATTTCATTGGTTGTCAACTCACCTAGTCCTAAGTAATCTTATATAAAATGTACTTTTATTTGAATACCGGCAGAAAAAGGTAACCGCTAAAAATTAAATTTCGTTAATAGCATTAAACATTTTATAATAGGTACTATGATATTACAAAACTAAATTAACCAAAAAAAAAAATTGATCCAGCATTTAAACGATGAAGTTAAAAAAATTATATTTGGCTATTTCTTGAAAAAACGGATTTGTGTATTATATTTTCTAGCGGTATGCGCTTTATATATTATTTTTACAATTTTAAGGATGTCTTAAAAGCATAACATATTTTCCGGTAAACGCATTGTCGTCCATAAAAGTAAACCTATTATCAAGTGCATTAATCACGGACATGTTTAGAGCCAAGCCGATTTCGATGCGGATTTCACTCGTTTAATCAACACCCGTTTTCAACAATACGTTAATTTTTATGTAATAAAGTATTACCGAGGTTTGAGTTTTACCTATGTATTTAATGGATATTATTGTTAAATTTAAATTCTCAACGCCAACCCGGGTAATAACACGCTTCCCCGTGCCATAGGCGACCGTTACCCGGGCAACGCATGCTGTGTTTATACCGTGTCACGGGGCTTTTTTTTTTTTTTTTGGGAAGCGTTTGTTTTGGATTAAAAACCAAGTGTTGCCTGTTATCTATATTTTATGTATGTTAGTATATATTGTGTGTGGGTGTAAGAGGGCCGAGGTTACGAAGACATGACGACGGCGGAGACAGAGAAAATCTTTGCGGGCAAACCGAACTGGGAGTACGACCACAGGCGAGCGGACGAATCGTTACAATCGCTCGGCGGGTTCAGGGTCAGGCCCCGGCTGAGGGACGCGTTCAACGAGCGGCTGGTCAGGACCGCCGTGCAAACCGTCCACTCGGATTACCTGGCCGGGAAGACGTGGGAAGACCTGGACCACAAGGTCACTTGCCGGGCCGTTGTCCGGGACGTGGAGCGCCGCGTCAAGGAGATATGCGACGACACACGCCCGGCGGGGTCCCGGTACAAGATAATTGCACACACGTTCATCAATAACAATACGGTATCGTTTCATGTACATGGTGACTTTGGCTGTACAGAATGAAAAAGACCTATTACTCTATTTTATAATTTTATAGGTTTTAGCGCGCCTAATTTTGATATATTTTTTATAAAATCAATGATTTTAGGTTGAAAACTTAATTAAAACTGTGGGGAAAAAAAAATCTAACATCTTAGAAGAATTTGAGACAGTCATAATAAACCAATCATACTGTACAACATGTATTGAAATATGAATACTAAGAAAAAAAAAAATTTCTTGTAGCATTATTACTTTTACATCCACTATTGACTAGTATGTAGCCATGGCTCGTCTAATGATGATGATATTAATGACAGTGCATTAGCCTTACACACGAATATCAATATACCCATAACAGTTTAAAAATGAGAGATGCCGTTAAAAAAATAATGATCTGGTCTTTATCGTTATTGAGCAACATCTGCGGCTAATTACGAAACTATTGGCCGATCTAGAATTTATTTTTACATCAAAAACTTATCGATTTTTCCGCTAGATAGTACTAATAAGATGAAATATATGAAATTATATAATTAAAAATGAAAAGATTGTTTCAAATAAGCAACATGGCGCATTAAAGGGTTAAATTGGTGTAGGGTTAGTTGGGGTAAGTGCGTTAAAATATTTTTTTTTTTTTACTTATTCATTTATATTAGCTTACTTTCTAGGTTTATGATTTCGCTAAGGGTATCTTTGTTATCCTTAGTATTGAAGCTATTCATATTTTATAACAAAAAATAAATAGTTGAAAATGTAATTTTTAGAAGAGCTTAAAAAAAAAAAAAAAAATGATGCATTAACCCCATAACTCGGGGTAAATGTATTGTATGAATATACTTCTAAATGTAATAATGTAAGTACGACAACTGGGCAAGAGCGTTATAATATAAAATCATAGCTATAAACATTTTTTATCAGATATAAATTATCATTTTTTTTCATTCACAATAAACATTTTAAATTAACGAAATTTTAAATTTTAAATTTAACATTTTTATTTACTTTAAATCAATCAAAATTTCACTTAGAATAAGCCTTAGAGGTACAAATTATCACATTTATTATTATTATTATTTAGGTAGGTACCGATTTAAACAATTTTTTTAGGAACTTTTTTTCTTGTAGACGTTCTTGGCCTATTACGAGGCCTTGTGCCCTACAAGTAAATAATATATATTTTTTTTAGTTAGACTTCAATAATATTTATTAACAATTGTGTTTTTGTATGGAAAAAAAAATGACGCTCTTGTCCCGGTATTACATAACGGGCTTTGCCCGTGAATACTTTTCAGCGGGGTAAGTGCATCATTGAATATATTAGTAATTAAAAAGAAGAATTACATAAAATTCATGACAAAAACACAAAGCACATTAGTAATGGGTTTATATTGACTAGGAAAAATTTGATGACTCTGTATATTTTATTGATTATAAATTTTCAAAAACAGTATGTTCATTTAAATAAGTTGATAACACTACCGAGCATTTCTTTATCAAGCCAGTTTTATCATGTGTTTGTTATACAGTGTTGCCATATATAAAAATGTGTTTGGAGTAACATTTAATTCATTATTTACTTATTATCTGTTGTTTGAGAAGTATCATACTGTTATTAGTTTGTAACAACGCGCTTACATATTATTACAAGAAAGAAGATTATTAGTTTTTTACACATATTTATTAGCTTTATGCAGCTCTACGGGGTTGAACACATTGTACAATACAATAAATATTATTTTGCCTAATAGAGCAGATTTGGGAGGTAAGAGATTATATTCAGGCTTGAAAATTTTTGAAATTTAGTTTACCAGTAATAATAGAATATTATGAGATTTTTTTTAATAAGAATATATTTTTTTTAGCTGACATATATATATGTATGACTAGTCTAATAGTGTGAATATTCGTGGAAAAAAATAAACCAATGCGATGCTCCGTAACAAGAGATTATAATTTTATTTTCTGCGTTTAACGTCATGTTTACAATATTTACAAACTTACCTGTAACAAAAGAAACCACAAATTGTAATTCTTTGTTACACCTCTAACTGTTAATATAAACTTAATATGTTAAACAATATCTTACACTTTTTAAATTAAACAATATTTTACCGAGTTATGTCTTACCGAGTTGTTCTGGATTATATAGCCTTAATATTTTACCAAATCCGAGACGAACGTAAATTTCTTGAATTTTAATCTGAAACCTTTTTTTTGTTATTGCCTCTAACACCTGTTTTATATGTTCCACGTGTTTCTCAAACAATGGTGAGTATATCAAGATATCAACATTATCTTACACTTTTTATATTAAACAATATTTTACAATTTTTATTTAAACAATCTATATCAACTGATTCCATATATTCATTTCTTCTGATCAGTAATACCAACTTATGTAGCTCACACCAATGTACAATAAAGAAAGTATTTTGCTTTACATAAATATATATATATATAGGAAAAAACCATTTTGGATGAAAAATCATAATTTAATAATAATAATTATACAAGTATAATAAAGAAAATTTGTAATTTTTTATAAGACAACACATAAGATATTTTTGACGAACAAAAGAAGATTTTGAGGTTAATTATAACACATTGCTATTTTAAAATATACATACATGTGAGCTTTAATTTTCATCAATTTTTCAAGTCATGAGTTGAAAATCTGTGTGTGTAGATTTTGGTCCAAACCGATGCCACCTGTATACATTATAATTGTCTATTTATTTCCTCATTTTGAAGTTGTTGTAGTACATCACCGCCGCTTGTTCGAGCGTCCGTTTCTTCTTTAAAGTACATGATTGTACGGTTTAAAATACGTTTTAATTCTTGTCTGGCCATTTGGGGAGTCTCTAGAAGATCGACGTCGTCATATACGCCAGTACTCACCAAGCCCATCATGTTACCATACCGTTGACTAAACTCCATGCATGTCAGTTTAAAGAATTCTTTTCGTTCATTCAAACCCCCCCTTTCGGACACTCTTACTACGTTGATGGCGTCTCTCATTTGAAGCACCGGCGCAGTCGATATTAAATATAATTTAAACTTGTTGTAAATGAGTTCTATTATAGGAATGATCGTATCAAAGAGCTTATTAATTCTCTTCGATACCTTATTCGTTATAATTTTATTTGATACATGACATAATCTACTCAACATCGAAATTCCTTCACTTTCGATTACGTTCATAAGCCGAATATATGCCTGGGCGTAACGTCCATTATCTACACAGTTCATCATCACTGCATTCAATGTTTGACCTACGGCACCACCGCAATAGGTTTGCAGTATAATGGCCATATAGCTTTCTGTTATTTCTATATTGGTTGTCGGCGCATATTCAGTTATTAAAATATTATACCGCAGATCTTCAGTAACCGTAAAGGGTGGCGTCACACTGTAGTATTCATATTGCACTTGTACGTCTGGGATACTAACGCATCTTTTCTGCGGTGCTTCTTCGGTCTGGTTCGGTTTATCTCGAGTGTAGCACGTATTGTCCAAAAACACCAAACTCATAAAGTTCGACTCGGTTATTAGCAAATTCTGAATAGTTTCCAATGTGATCATCGTTTGACAACCGCTAAGACTGCATAGTGCAATAACACAAATTTGGAACACAAACATTTTTTAACTCGTATTCGTTGAGTGTCGAAAATAATCAAAACAGGTAAACTATGAACACCAAAAACTTTCATAAAAGAATAACTGCTCACACTACTGCAATGCGGGTTAATACCTTACTTGGTTACATTGTACCTATTTAGCTTAGGAACGAGCTAAGGCTTCATTTGTTCAATGTTATGTTTGAAGAGCTGTTGTTATTCGCGCGCGTTTGACAAAAACAACATGGTACCGTTTCTTTTTCATGGTGACTTTGGCTGTACAGAAAGAAAAAGATATATTATTCTGTTTTATAATTTTATGGGTTTTAGCGCGCACAATTTTTATATATGTTTTAAAAAATAAATCTATTAATTTAAGATAAACTAAAAACTGTATAAAAAAAAGGTCTAACACTTTAGACGAATTTAAGAGCGTCATAGTCAACCAATCATACTGTACAACATTTATTGAAATAATAATACTTTGAAAAAATCGATTATTGATTATTCCGCTAGAAAGTACTAGCAAGATGAAATATAACAAATTATGTTATTTAAAAAAAATATATTATTTTAAATAAGCAACATGGCGCATTGAAGGATAATTTGGTGTACTCAAATGTATTACCTGTGAACATAAAAAATATAATGTCATTTGTTCTACTAAAGTACTAAGTCCTAATATATTGTATATTATAATAAGAGAGCAGATTTTTAGGTTTTCACACATATTTATTAGCTTTATGCAGCTCTACGAAGTTGAACAATTTGTACAATACAATAGATATTATTTTGCCTATTAGAGCATATTTGGGAGGTAAGAGATAATATTCAGGTTTGAATATTTTTAAAATTTAGTTTACCAGTAATAATAGAATATTATGAGATTTTTTTTTAGTGCATATTATCAAAATATTTCGAACTTTAAAAACCAAAAGTCCAATCTAAAATTTAAACAATTCTTTGGATTCAATATACATTTGTCAATTACATATCTTTACATTACACACATTGGCAACACGTTTACAACCTGTTTATGTTGACTGAGCCGTTTCGTCAAGTTGTTATCAACGTAGTAATGCTCACAGAGTCTATTAAATGTCAAATAGTAATCGGCCATCTTAGTACACTATATTTGAAATAGAAGAGAAAATAATACATATTATCTCATTCGTGGAAAAGAATCTAAAGCGTCCCGGCGCGCGTTATCATGTCAATACGTTATCACATTATAATAACGGTGACGGCATTTTTTGTTTAATTGTTTTTTTGTGACATTTTGTTACATGGTATTCATTTTATAGAAGTCGACATGTTTTCCGGTCTGACAAAGATTACCTATGTGACGTTGGATTGTTGTTTAATTTGCTTATGAATAAAAAAAATAAATAATTTTTCTACGTTTTTAAGAAAATGTATAATTTATATTTACAGAGTGTTTCTCTTATCATGAACCACTCAATATTTCATAGGGTTTAATTAGAAATTAAAATATTTTTTTTTCATATTGTTGTTGTAGAATGTGATCTCAATTTTTCACAATGTTTTTTGTTTTTACCCCTCCCAACTTGGTTTTTTTGATAGCAACTATTGAAACTTATATGGTAACATAATATAATATTGTAACTTTTTAAAATGAGACTAATGTACTAAAAATATTGACTGGTCTATAACCAGTTTCGTATAACTATTTTTGAAGTTTCAAGTTTAGGGCAGGAGGGAAGGTGGATTATTATTTTTATACCAACGCCTGTATGGTCAACAGTGTTGGGAAAAGATAACTATAAAGTTATCTAGATAAGATAACGGATAATTGAGTAATATATCATCTAGATAAGATATTAAATTATTCATTTAACATTTATTTAGCTAAAAGATAAAGATAAATACAATTTTATCTAGATGAAAAATAGATAAATTAAATTTTAACCTTCATAAAATGTTATACGAAAATGTATGAGTGAAACAAAGTATTTTCACAGATTACAAAATAATTTAATAACCAATAAGACGTAGGTACTAAGAAATGGACAGTTACGTCAAAGAGCAAATTTTCCTTATATTCGATTTCGTGATTTATGGCTACTCTGTTCATTTGTCATTTATTATTTTCATGTACTCTATGTCATCTTTTATGTAGGCAACAGTAATAGTATAAATAGGTATAAAGAGTAAATACGAGTTTATCAAACTCGATAATCGATGACGGGACATTTCATTATCGGTTGAAACTATTTATAAGCATATTGTTCTTTTTTGACGCTTAACTATCGTTTTGGCCACATACGGTCTACGGACTACGGAGAGCCCACATTATGTTTAAAATGTTTATTACAAGGTTTTGTTTTTTTATTTTGATTGAAAATACAAATAACTTTTTGGAAACGGCTCATTGTTTATTGGACTTGTATTATTATTTACTATTTTACTTTTACAGTCTTTACTCTTTACCCTATATGTAGTTACTGATACAGGACTCGCCTGACATGTATATATATTTGTAAAATATAATTTATAACCATTCTGCTCAAATAAACACCTGCACTTTCGACCATTTTTTTTGTTGGGATTTTGGTCAATGTTAATCTTGAAATTATTATCGTAAAAATTCTTATAAACACGTTTTATATAGCACTAGTAATTATTTCGAGAGTACTGGGAAAAAAATTATCAACATTAAATAAAAACTGAGCACTGTAGTCGAAAACTACGAATATAAATAATAAATTATACGATAATACATATATAACTCTTATCTACTTCTACCTATTAAAAATAGGTAAAAGACGTTTTGTATAATCGACTAAAATACATTGGATTACAATGGAATATTGGACTTGTCTAACAAGCCAACCCCAATGTATTAATAATATATTCTTATATCACTAATCACTATTCATTAGGACCTAAGTATATTAATATTTTTAGGCTAGGACACATTATGCGTTTCGTCGGATCCCGAAACCTGTTTTTGTAAAACCCACGAATAAATAACTTAAAAAATAGTTACAATTTCTATCTAGATTAATTACCTCAGATAACCGATTTGTTTATCTAAATAAGATAATAAGATGATTTACTTTTTTTTATCTAGATAAGATGTTAATTACAATTTTTTATCTAGATAATTTATCTAGACTGTGTGTGCTGTGCTAAGCCACTGGCGTTAAGCGCCTATCAATACTACACGTGTTCAGACTGGAAGACAAACGATAACTTATAAGCACTAATTACGTTACCCTTAATTTTCTCTGACACTACGATGTTGAATGTGTACAACTCGCTTGCTGAAATAGTTAAGACAGTATAACTATTTTTTCCGAGGTAAATCAAGTGCGATATCAGCAGTTAAGCTCAACAGTTTTCATAGCACCACTTTACAAAGAAAGCGACAAAGACTGCCGCTGGTCTTTTATCTGAATCGGACGTGATATTACCCAAGTTAAATAGAAAACTTTTTGGTACAACATAAACTTCACGAGTACCTGATATTTAAGTATAAAAAGAAAGAAAAAAGATATTAACGATTTTTATGATGAGAAATAATGATCAACTTTTTGGTTTTTGAGTTGAAATAAAATTGCATAAGCACTAGATAGAAGTTATATAAGGAATAAATTATTTAAATATAAGAAATAGTTGTCGGGTCGAACGCAATCCCACTGGCCAAGAGGCTTGATAAACTAAACTGGCTGGGTTGATCTTGTTACAACGCGTTATTGTTCTGAACTCGAATGCTTCGATCCCAACACTAAAGATCTATGTAGTGTATTTTTATTAATGTATTCTTTATGAGTTTCTGTCCAGTTTATATGGCTCACGTTTATTAAATAGATATGACATTTTACAAATTAGATAAATAAGTGAAATTGTGTTATTCTGAGTATTGTAAAATATTTAAAAAACATTTGATATTTATTGTTTATTACAAATGCTATTCAAAATTTTCTAAGCCACGTCCTCACGGCTAGAAATAGAATTCCGATGATTTTAAATAATAATATAAAGGAAGATTTGTAATTATGATTTTAACTGTAATGTACATATAAATGTGTTGATACATACATGTTATGTATTACCAATATTAATTAAATTTGTTTGATAAATATGAAGTTTTACATTAAAAAAAAAATCTTATGTTTAACATTTGTTTATTTTACTTATGTAATCACACACAATTGTTTAGCTTTTCAAATTCTATATAGGTAGTTAAGCTTCGAACTATAATTAATAATATTTTATGTTACAAAAAGAGATGCTACGAATATTTGATATATTATTTGTTTACAATATGTGATAACAACAGCATTAGCGGTAATCGATTAGAAGTAAACAATTATATTTATTACAAAACGTATCTTCTTTGAAAAAAAAAAACGATTTAAACACAATAAGTTGCTTGCTACATTTTTGTGGAATGAAGTTTTTACAAACGGTCTTTCACGAATGAGATAGAGTTTTTATATTTACTCTTAATTTTTAATTGTTTATCGACAACAAATTTCATAAACTTTAATAAGCACACAGAGTACGATGAAAACAGCAAATAACTTGATGCATAAAAACAAATAGCAAATTTCGATTTCGTTACAACAATCGTCAAAAATTAACGTGTTCCGGTAGGTTATCTTGGCAAAAAATGTGTAGGCAGTTTTACTAATATTACTCTAAGTGTTTATTATAAAACAAGTTATTTTGATTATTCCTCTCATAGAAAATTCAAAATTGTGCATAATTTCTTTAGTAATGAAATCCGGAAACAGAAGAAAAATGATTTTATAAATTAAAACTAAAGCTGCTGTATTTATATATTTAACGTAATTGACTGTTAGATGGGTATATAAATATCACGGTATAGAGCCACACAGGTTTCATTTCTTATGAATTCGTCCCTATGACCGTCGATAGCACTTGTCTCTCTACGAACCTAAAATATATAGAATTTGTAAAAAAATTGCTTATATTTTTAGAAAATACACACAATTGGCGTAGAGTAATGGATAAAATCAAAAATAATATAATTTATTTCATTAGACACAGAATGAACCCAAAGAACAAAAAAAAAAATGTATAAGTTTATGGGTTTTAAAAATTAATTAGACAGTAAG